ACCCCCCCCCCGAGGCCCCACTCAGCCCATGGGGGCAGGCAGCAATGGTGCTGGACAAAGGCATTTTCTGAGGCATGTACAAGCACCCCAGGCCAGGTCACCAGCACAGGATGGGACAGACACCCGGCAGTGCCGGGGCAGAGCAGGACATGCCCACGCAGACAGACACACAGACTCCCCACAGCCCCGCAGCACCGGCGGCACAAGGGAAGGGCCGTGTGCCTCGGGCAGAGTGGGGCTGGCACAGCTGGCTCGGAGCCATTGGCCAGCGCTAGCACACGTGTGGGTGCTGGTGAATCCACGGCTCACTGGTACAGTCGCCAGAACAGAACGGCCTTGGCACGGGCTCTCGCACACACGCGGCAGAGGGGCAGCAACGGCTGGTTAAAGCCAGGAATAGCGGCAGAGCTGGCACCCGCCAGGCCCTGCAGGGAGGGCTGCAGCGCTCAGCAGAGAGCAGCCCGGGGAGACGCTGTTCGAGGGCTTGGAGACTCCTGTGCAAGGCAGCAGCACAGAGCCCACCGCCCTCCCTGAGGCAGGAGGTGTGAACACTTACTCAAGAGGCAAGAGCAAAGGGCAGGTGAAGCGACTGGCACACGCTGGCATCATCATCAGCGTCATCCACCCCCCCGAGTGAGCTGCAGGGACCCCAACCTCCACCCCCCAGCGCTGACTCTGCGCCCCGGGATGTGCTCAGCCAGGCTGGCCCCAGTGCCAACCTCGGCGTGGGGATGTGCTGCCCCAGGCCGGGAGCCCACAGCAAGGTCCTCGGCCAGAAGGCAGCTGCACGCCGGTATCTGCTGGAGAAGCCAGAGAAGCTGCTGGCTGCAGCCTCCCCGGCTCCACCTGGGGAAGGAACCACGCGCATGGCTCGCCCCGGCCTCCACGTGCGGCGGGCGAAGGCGCGCCGAGCCCAGCAGGCACAGGGGAAGGGGCCAAAGGCCGCTGGCACACAGGGGCTTGTGTCCTCCCTGGCCGCAGCACGGCCCTGGCCCTGCTGGTGCCAGTGACAGTCACGGTTGCTCCAGACACACCAGTCCGGCACAGCCTGGGCCAGCTCCGCTCCAGCCCTCAGCACCGGGAGGAAGACGTGGGAGCCCCAAAGCAGCTGCAGGCCCCCTGAGCTCGGGGCACAGCCCAGGCCCTCGCCGGGGAGCGTCACTGCGGGCAGCAGCGACTTGTGCATGGCGCCTGGTCAGCACTCGAACCCGAATGACAACAGTAAAAAAACCTCCATTTATTTCCCTATAAAGGCCGAGCTTTCCTTTAAAAACCAGCTCATTTCACTCGTGAAAGGGCATGGGGCTGAACAGCAGGGGCAAGGCTTCCTCACTCCCTCCCTCAAGCCCAGAGCTGTTGCTCCCCGAGAGTCGTGTGTGCCAAGGAGCCCTCCACCGACTCTGGGGGGCTGCTCGGCCTCCGCTGCTCCCCAGCTGCCACCCCCAGGAGCAAGGCAGGAGCCACGGGCAAGGCGGGTCAGAGGTGCTGCCCGGGGTGCGGGGCAGCTGTTCATGCAGGCAGAGCGGGGGGCGGGTGTCCAGCCGGTGCAGGGCCCGGCAGCGGTGCCAGCAGCCCCGGTGGGCTGTGCTGGGGACCGGGGCAGGCACAGGGTGAATCCTGAGTGGCTGGTCCGTTGCTGCAGAGGTTTGGCTCAGCCCAGGGGCGTCTTGGGGCCAGCGGCAGGGAGGTCCCCAACCCCTCCCGGCCCCTTCCAGCTGTCCGGGGGTTGCCCCAGGCGGTAGCACAGCAGCTGGGCTGTAGGAGAGCTCGCTCTGGGCGCAAGAGGCACCGACTCTGAAAAGCAAGAAGGGGGAAGACCCTGTTGGGAAACCAGCACAGCCTGGGCGGGGAAGGAGACCTTCCCCCGTGAGCCGCCAGCCCCCTTTCCCAGCAGCGGACGTGCACGGGGAGGTGCAGAGCAGCCCTGTGGGAAGGAACTTACCTGCTGGGCTGCGGGCTCCCCGCCCCAGCTCCTCTGTGCTGCTGTGGAAGAGAACAGAGCAACCCATCACACCCCAGACAAGCCCTGCTGAGAGACACGGCAGCTCACAACCCCGACGACGCAGGCACGGCGCCGCAGAGGGCCCCGGTCCACCTCCTACCAACCCTGTCCCCGGGGGCAGAGCCACATCTCCGTCCCCTCGGGAGCCCCCCGTACAATGGGCTGCCGCTTCGCAGGGCCATGCACCTCGCCCTAGCGCTGGTTCTGGGCTGACCCCAGCTCACACTGGCTCGGCCCTGACAGGCCCCAGCCAGGTCCCAGCAGCAGGCATGTGGAGAAAAGCCACCACAGAACTGGCCTCTCGCGCCACCACCACTGGCACTTCTGCAGGCCCGCGGGTTAATCCTGCACCACTGGACTGGGACCACCACCTCCTCCCAGGCCCGGGACAGACAAGCTCAGCGCCAGGCCCTAGGCTATGCGTGACCAGGCCACCACCCCGGCCCAAGCCCCAGGGAAATCAGCAGCAGGAGAGGGACAATGCTGAGACCTGCCTGAGAAGCAGGCCTGGGTAGGCCGGGCCCAGCAAAGAGTGGCCAACACAGAACAAGTAACATCTGAGGGTCAGCATCTGCCCCCACAGCTCTACTGCAAAAGCAGAACTGGAGATGTGACCCCCCAGCTTGGCTCTGTTCCCTCAGCCTCTCAGCTGACAGAAGCAGCAGGAAGCTCCCCCGCGCACACAGATCTCCTCCACGGTCCCACTGTGCCCGTGGCCCCAGCAGCTCCCTTCATACGGGGTGCAGAGAAAGAAACAAGACAGGGTTCATCCGAGAGACCCCTGAACACAAGCAGCAGCTCACCACCTACCCAGTTACGGTTTCACCAACATTATCATCTTCCTCCTCCTCTTCCTCCTCCTGGCAAACAAACAGAACAAAAATACCCCACCATGACACCTTGCTGCCTGGGCAGGTCTGTGTCCAGCTGCCCAGAGCCTGTTCCGGAGCAGTGGGGCCGTTCCACTGTCCCCCAGGCAGGAGGGGTAAGATTGGCACCCACAGGGCTACCGAAACCCTCAGGGCTCAGGGCTGGAGCCACGCAGGGGGAAAGGCAGGTCACGGCGCTCTCACCCCCCTAGCCAGCGGAGCACCAGACCCTGACAGGGAGTGAGCAGGGAGCTGCTGCGCAGAGCAGGCCCCAGCAGGGCGGCACGTCCGGCGGCTGCGGGGCCAGGGAGCGGGCGGGGAGCCTGAGCCCTACCAGGCTGGGCCAGCGCTGGAGGCCAAGCACCGGCCATCCAGAGGCTCCCGCACAGGGATGGGGCGAGACCAGCGACACCAGCAGCACAGCGGGCACCGTGCAGGCTGAGCTGTAGCCCAGGTGAGCAAGATGGTGGGCAAAGGGTCCCCCCTTCAGAGACAGTGTCCCCCCTAAGCCACAGCACCGAGGGCACAGGACTGGGACGGGGCCGAGCCTGGTGGGGGGGGTCCTGCAGCAAAGGCCACCCAAGGAACCAGGTGAGCCAGGGCACAGGTCCCTCACGTTGGGCCGCCGTGGGCGAGGGAGGCTGCGCAGGTATCGCCAGGGTCCGGGGGGCCGGGAGAAGGGAGCTGCTCCCCCCTCCTGCCCTGGTGTGAGACAACTCTGGGCACAGGCCAGGGTTGCACATACTGTACCCCAAAGTGGTGCCTGAAGGGAGGGCTCCCCGGGGGGGCTGGCTCACTTGGTCTGCCGGGCTCACTGCTCTCCAGGGCACAGGAATGGTGAAGGGGCTGTTCCTGCCTAGAGCCTGGGACAGGGCGAAAGCAGCAGCATTAGTGCCTGCAGCCTGGGGAAGGGCCCACGGGCGGTGTGCAGGCAGGACTGTGGGCAAGGGGCAGGCACCCCTGTGCTCGGAGGGTGCGGGGTCACCGCTCAGGGCAAGTGTCACCGGGCCCTGAGCCACAGCTCAGCGATGCCAGAGAGCTCAGCGCAGAGAGCAGGCAGAGATGGGGCAGGGGCAGAGAACACAACAGCAGGGACAACACTCCCTGCCTGGGGAGTCTGACCCACCAGGCAGCAAGCCACCTCTGCTCCACATGGCCCAAGACAGGGGGACCTGCAGACTCCAGTGCCAGGGCGAGGCAGAGGGACACACTCCAGAAATTCCTCCCACCTGCATGAGCTGCTTCCCAGAGATCCAGTGCCATCTGGAAGGCCTGGGCCACGGTCAGAGTCACAGCCTGGGCCTGTGTACAAGAAAGAGAGGGAACATTGGCCTCCATCTGAGCCTGCAGGCCAGGACAAGCCCACTGCCACGGAACCCGAGAGCCCCCAGGCCTCCCTCGCTGCCTCCCTCTGCAGAGCACACACTCGGCCGGAGCTCAGTCTGTGTCTGTCCCCCCGCGTGGGCAGTTGTGCTCAGGAAAGTCCCCAGAGGAGCCAGGACAGACAAATGTCCTTTCGCTCAGCCCCTGCAGCGTGTCAGCACATGTGCTTCCCGGCTCTGTTTCCAGCTGAGGTGTGCAGGGCTAAGGGCTCTGAACAGGAGAAGGCAGCCCCTTGCTCCCACCCTCGCCTCACGAAGCCGAGAGCAGAGGGAAGTGCTTACAATCTTCTTCTTGGGTGAGAGGAAGGCATGGCACTCCAGCGCCCCGCTCTCCTGGCTCTGGGCAACGTAAGCAAAGACTTTGTTCTGCAGCTTGTCTGTGGTGCAGTAGGAGATCCTGCGGGCAGTGAGGAGCTGCTCAGGGCAATGAGGAACCCCGGCACAGGTCCCCTGCTGCGCCCCCAGCACACCCACGAGCAGCGCTGACAGCCCGGGCTTCCATCTGCCGCAGCTGAGCCGGCAGCACCCCCACTGCGAGGGCCAGAGACTGCCCGGCGCCTGCAGCTGCCGAGAGATCTCTGCACCCTCAGGCACCCCCTCCCCGCTGCCCCGCAGGCCCAGCGGATGCCCAGTTCAACCCAGCGGATGCCCAGTTCAACCCAGCGGATGCCCAGTTCAACCCAGCGGATGCCCAGTTCAACCCAGCGGATGCCCAGTTCAACCCAGTTCAACCCAGCGGATGCCCAGTTCAACCCAGCGCAGAAGGGTGGGCGATTGCCTCCAGGGACAGGCCCGAAGGCCAGGCTGTGGGATGGCTTGCCCTGGCACATCTGCTCTGGTGCTGGGGCCCAGATTTTGCACCGATGTCCTGCCTCTGCCTCCCACCTGTCCACCAGCCCGCAGCCACGCTCCCCTCACACCCAGCGCCCACAGACACCCAACCCAGCCAAAGTGCAGCTGGTAGAAGTAAAAAACCCACAGGGGCTCTCCCAGCCCCAGTAAGCTGCGGCCCGGCCCCCCCTGCCCAGTGCCCCGTCAGCCTCCAGCTGGGACCCCCGCAGACCCTGCCCACCTGTAGATGGAAATGCTCTCAACCATCTCCTGCGTGTCTGCATCCTGCAGCGAGATGCCCCTCGGAGACACGGTCAGAATCACCTTCTGGAACTTGCGAGCTCCCACCCGTGCCTGGCAGTGGGGAGACACCAGACACCTCTGCAAATGTGGCAAGGGCCATCACCCCCCCTCGCTAGCAGAAGCCCCCCCGACCATATGGAGTGCTGCCCGCTTGGGCCCTGGCTGCGAGGGCTCCCGCTGCAGGCACAGGACAGCAGAGCCCGGAGATCCGGCATGGCCTGCGAGAACAGCCCTGGAATCCATTCCCACTCTGGGAAAGGGCAGAGCCCACCTCCCGGGGCACCTCACCCCGACACGTGCTGCGACAGGCCCAGCTCTGCTCCCAGCCGTGCTCCCGGGGCAGGAGCAGGCAGCGTGCCATCCCGCACACAGAGCACACGGGCAGAGACCTGCCAGCCTCCGCATGCCACCCTCCCCGTGGCAACTGTGCAGTCCCTGGGGGGCTACAGGGCTGGGACACTTCCCCCTGCCCGGTCAGCTCTCACCGTGGCCACGATCCTGCGGATGGCAGCAGCTGCCATGTCTTCTCCTTTGGGTTTTTCTACCAGCGTCATGCCCAGGTACTTGAGCGTGAAGCACATCCCCTCCAGCAGCGGCTCCTGCATGTCAGCCCAGCTCTCGGGAAGCTCTGTGCAGACAAAACACCATAGAAGTCATGTCCCAGCAGTCCCACGGCCAGCCCCAGCAGAGCCACCCCACCGTGCTGCGGCCACTCCGCTGCCTGCGCTCGGCAGGGACTCCCCTACGCCGTGACACCCCTGGAGGAGGAAGGGATGGGGGGCAGCTCACCCTCTGAGCTGCAGCCCTCCAGCCCGAGCTCCCTCAGCACGGGTAGGGAGCTCCTGCAGACCTGCTCAGAGCCCTGCATGCTGCAGCATTCCCTGCTACCCGCAAAACCCTCGCGGGCCCGCGTCTCCTCTGTTCCACCACAAGCAGGATGTTCTCTGCACTGCATCCATCTCGCCCACCTCAGCCGCCAGCACGCTGCAGCAACACCAGCATTCACTGCCGCACTTGCTCAGATCAGAATCCCCGAGCAGCCTAAGCAAAGCCAAACCTCTGGGCAGCTGCCACACGCCGCAGCGGGCTGCTGGGGAAGGGAGACCCTGGCCAGCACTCGTGGTCCAAGCACTGCAAAGATTCTGTGTTGAGGAGAGCTCAGACTGGTGTTTCAAGGACGCAAACTGGCTTCCAGGAAAACACATTGGAAGGATGAGAGCTCCCATGTGCATTACTTTGCAGGTCACAGAATTAAAGGGGCACTGGCTTCTGTTTCCTGTGTCCTCTCTTTTCAAATCCCATCCAGAAAAATAACAAATAAAATCAACGGGCAGAGCATCTGTTCACTCAAGAAAGATTCCCTAGGGAGAGTCCTTGGCATCTCCAGCTTCCTTCAGAAACCAGCCCATGTCACCAGCATGTTCTGCCACACGGCGGGTGGGCTGGTAGGGGGAAGGAGCTCTGTCCTGACAGCCCCGACACCACCTGGCAGAGAACACTCGGAGCAGGAGCATCCACCCGGCCTCTGCTCCACAAGACAAAGCCAGCAGCTCCAGCGGAAAGTACACTCACCGAAAGCAAAAGCCACCAGACTAGTGTCACAAAGGAACCACCACCTGGTGCCAAGTACAAGGGGTAACATTCAAGGAGAGCTGGAGCAGATGTTAGCACACATGTCCTCTCCTCAAACCCCGAAGAGCACAAGACTGGGGAGAGGGGAGATGTGCAGAAGGGCTGAGATGGGGGGTCACAGCCCCTCTGTCGCTGGGGGCTCAGCCTGCAGAGGAGGGCGCAGGCACACAGGAGCGACACGCTCTGTGCAAACACTCCCCCGGAGACTGCCCAGGTACCTCCTGCTCACGCTGAGCTAGGGCTTGTCAGGATTATTTTTCACCTCTTCCCCGGGATTAGCTCCCTGAACGTTACTGGCACACTGGCAGATGGCTCTGGCTCATAACTGGGACAGCCCAGACCCCAAGGAGATCAGCAGCCCCTCCCTGCACAACTCCCACCAGGGAACCTGCCTGGTCCCGCACCGTTCCCGCAGCCTCTGCCCAGGGCAGGAGAGCACCATCCCGCTCCCGGCTCCGAGAAGGGCCTGCGTGTGCCGGGGGTGCCAGGGCGGGCTCCGCTGCCCAGCACAGCCCCTGGCACAGCCCCCCTGCCCTACAGGGCTCCCAGGGTCTGCAGGGTCTCTGGGAGGTGGCGGCACAGCAGGCGCAGGGCAGCGGGTGACACCAGACCTGCCGCACTCCCCACGCATGTGTCGGTGCCCGTGGGGCGGCGGGCGCAGGGGGCTGGGGAGGCCGAGCCAGCACGGGCCGGGGCCAGAGCCCGGGGACGAGGCGCAGCGTGTTCTGGCATCGCCCGTCACGGCACGCCGGGGCAGGTGGCCTCAATCCGAAAGTGGGGCAGGAGGATGGGAGCCGGGGAGTGGGGCAGGGCTGGCCAGCAGCCCACAGCGCTGCTGCCCACCCCGGCCTGCAGGCCCACAGCCCTACCCACAGCCTGCCCCACTGCTGGACCCAGAGCCTGCCCCACAGCACCCCAGCTCCTCTGCTGCCCCACAGCCAGCCCCACAGCTCCAATGCCGGCCTACAGC